TTCAATTAAATGTTTAATGCTTATTTCTTACAATCTAACATATAGTCAACTTTAACCCTACCGTACTTTAAAAACACAAACATTCCAACATACAATCAATTTTAACCCTAAACTTCTTTAAAATCCCTAAATCATACAAATATAATACCCTAAACCACTAAAAACCCCTAAAAACAATTAAAAAACCATTACAAAACCCTAAAACCACTTTAACATAAAACCTTAAATCAGGAATAGGAGGCACATTCCGTATGACACGACATTCAAGGGAGGTGCGTTCCTTAGGACACGCCATTCACAAAACTCATAGAAGGTGTGTTTCATGTGATGCACCTTCCCTCCCCCGACTAAGGCACATCTCCTATCATGCGCCTCTCTCTCCTGAAAAAAAAAAGTGTTAGATCGGGATTATGAAAGGGTGTTTGATAGGTAGTATTTTTTTAATAGGCTATTTTTTGGTCAACTTGTCTTCCCTCTCCTTTGTTCTCTTGTTTCTTCTCTCTCATTACTCCATGATTGTTATCTTGAAAGTTAAAACATATTGATAGTAAAAAAAAAAAGGAAAAATTTTCAACAATGGAGAAAAATAAACGAATTTTTTTCTTTCTCCGATGGATACCTCATAAAAGACCCCTATCACCACTCCACTCTCTAAGCTTAAGGTATAAATTTTTAAACTATTAATCTTTTTTAGGAAACTCTTTTCTATCTTTGATTTTAGTTGCTTCTTATTATGCATGTGTTTATTATTATTTTTTGTGAGAGAGTTGATCTTCATCTTTTAGGTTTTATCTTTATTCCATTAATTTTTTGGTTTGTTCTTTCCGACAATGGAAAAAGATTGTGAACAAACTGTGAGAGTGAAGAAGATTGAGAAATTGCTCATTTAGATTTTGGATTCAACTTCCTTAGAATTCATTTATTGTGGCATTGATTTGATCCAAAATGACTTTCCCTTGGGATTTATTTCTTCAAGCAATGTATGATGCAATCAGACTTCATATTATTCCTCTAATTTCTTCTTTCGACTCTAGAAAAAATATAAATGACGGTAGCACAATTCTTTTTGCATATTTTGAAGTCAGTATTTGGTCATTGATCTCCAATAAAGATGGTCGAAAGTGGTTAGAATAGTTTTCGGCGTTGGGCCTAGAACCTGAGTTCAAATGAGATTAGGGGAGACATGGAGAGATGCAGGGAGGAAGAAGAAGGAAGAAGGAAAGAGCCAAAATGGAAAAAAAAATATTTTTTTATTTAGATTAAACTACGTCGTTTTGATCTAAATTTAATTTTTTTTATAGAATCCAAAAATACGTCATTTTGGCGTTGATTGCCACATCATTACACCGTTAGAAAGAAAACGGTCGAGTGAAAAAAAAAATTAATCTATAAAGTTCAGTAAGCAAATTGAAAAAATTAAAAGTAAGGTGATTGAAATAGAAAAGAAAATAAAGTTCAATTAGTAAATGTGTAATTTTCCCTTTTTATAATGCACATTCTATCTTTTCAAACTTATTTTTTAACAACAATCTCAAATAATTAAATTTAAAACTACACTTTTATATAACACTTTTAAAAGTTCATTTCTACAGTACTTTTAAAAGTCACTTTTCAAAAAATATACCAAATTGGCCCTTATTAGATCTCATATACTATTATTAATTAATAAAATAAAGATTACAATATTAATCATTAAAATCATAGTTTTAAAATGATAAATTAACTACTTAATCATCAAAGGGAAAAAATATCGTCTTTGGAATTTCAGTTTCCTCACTTCAAAAATATTCTTTAATCAACTTTTTTTATGCAAGTAATCTACTTAAAATGAGAAAGGTTCAACCGAGATTTGAACTCGGGTTACTGGATTTACAGTCCAATGTCCTAACCATGGTTATCAAAATCGGACCGAATCAGCCAGTTCAACCGGTTGAACCGTGAACTGGTGGCCTGTCCGATACGATTATCTCACAAAACCAGTCTGGCAATGAATCGGTTGAAAACCGGTAGAACCGGGGTGAAAACAGGCAAAACCGGTTTGAACCGCCGATTCACTTTTTTTCTTTTAAAAAAATTAAACCAAACGACGTCATTTGTTCAACGAGCCAAGTCAAATTCGAGTATTGCTGAGCTCGACTCGAACTCGAAAACTTTAAAAGTAAGCTCAACTTGACTCAAAAACTCACGAGCTAAAAATTATCAAGTTCAACTCGAACTCGAAATATAATATTAAAACTTGAACTCGAAAAGGCTCGAACTCAAAAAAAATTTAGAAGTTTGATTGAAGCCTAAAATTTGAGCTCAATTGAAGCGAAAGAATAGTTCGCTCTGTGCTCATTAAAAGGCTCCATGATTTTGAATGTCAAATTACATCTATTATTTATAGAAGTAAGTTGGGATGCTCTTCTATGTTTCTTAGCCATGTGAGATTATTTTTTAAAAAAAAAAACTAAACCAAATGACATCATTTGTTATGATTTTTTAAGGCCCGATTTTATTTTTTGATTATAGTGTATAATTATATTATTATTAATATTTTACCTTAAATATTATTTGTAGTTGATTTGAATCATTTGTTTCACTGATTTTATAGTTTTTAATTTATATATGTTATGACTTGTGATATTTTTATACCTTTTAATATTGTAAACTTAAAAAAAGTGTTACATATATATTAATATTGCTTTGAATATTATGTAAAATTAAAAAAATATATTATTTTATATAAAATCTGGTTCAACCGCGATTGAACCCGGTTGAACCAGTGCACCAATTAACCAATACCTTCACCGGTTTAATGTCCGGTCCGGTTTTAAAAACATTGGTCCTAACCACTAGACCATGGAACCTTGGATGGATCCAACAAACTGTGTATTATTAAATGTTCATAGAATATGATAGAGAAATAAATGACTTTTTTTTATGGAACACATGAAAAGGGCAAGCTCAAGCCTTAAGTTAAAGGGAAGCTTCTTACATAGTTATTTAGCTAGGCTTCCTCTTATACTGCTAACAAGCTGACTACTTCGAGTTACAAAAAGTGATGAATGATGTTATTTTTTTCTATTTGAATGATTGTTAAGTATGCTATAAGTTTAATCATGTCCATTCTTGGCCCTTAATGATGGTTCAGATATGTTTTCTTGAGTTGTATGTGGTATATAAAGCATGTTTGATTTGGTAAATGATTTTAATTGTCATAAAATTATCTCAAGTGTGACCTATAAGTGCATGATTGAATTTATAAATTCAAAAAGTATAATTGCTTGTTGATTGGATATTAAGAAGTATGATTTAGACATGAAATGAGTGTCTATGATGATTCAAGTATGTTATTGTATGATTTGTGACTTTCAAACAATTAGGAATTGATTCGTTAGCTCAATTATGTAGGTCTAAATTTAACTTTGTAATTTTCTAAAACTATAATGGATCTCTAGAGAAAAAAATAATTTCTCAAAATATAAATTAAAATAAATTTAATCATTCAATCGGATGGTCACATATGTCACTACAATTGGCACTAGTGACACATGTCACCATTTGATTTGAGGGTTAAGTTATTTTAATTTATTAAAATTAGGACCAAATTGATAGAATGGATAAGTAACAGTGATCAATGTGTAATTATACAAATATTTAACTGCCACATCAGCTTCTCCGTTAAATATTAGCGACAAGTAGCTTAATTGAATGCATTTAAATAGTTGAATGATATGATTGATAAAATTTCAAAAATGGTGGTCAAAATGAAAAATGGGCAATAGTTAGGTGATCGCCGATATAGTTTACCCTTTAATTTAGATAATTTACCTTTAAAATTATAACTAATTTATAATTATACGTTGAGCCCTTTAGATTTTTAAATTTTTATAGATTAAATTAATAATACTCATCGTTAGTGGTGTCCATCGGTGTTCATCGAGCATTGTAGAATTTTCCTAAAATAAAAGAGTTTTACACATCTTTAAGATTATTAGATGAATGAAAATCAATGGTTGATATCTAAAGGTAGTGTAATCACATTATCAATCTCTTTTGATCAATAAAAATCTCATCAATTTTAACATTTAATCTCAATCATTGATTTTTGCTCAGCGAAAAACCATAAGCGAGCGTAAAAGTAAAATTAAATTACAAAGTGTATCTGAATCTTATCTTGTGTATATATAATGATTAGATAATAAGAATATAAATGATAGAAAACATATTCTAAAGTCTAAGACATACTCTCTATTTATAAAGTCAAATACTTTATCATCATGAACTTTTAATTAATAAGAGTTTTATTAAATAAATTTAATTACCAAATAATCTTCAACTATTAAAATTATAATAGAATCTAACATATTATCTAATTAAAAATAAAAGATTGATTTTTATAACCATGTGATTAAGATATTATACAGAATTAGATTTAAGGGTATACTACACATTTACTAACTAAACTATTATTTTTCTTTCGTTTTGATACTCAAATTTTATTTTTTTTAAATCATATCTAACGTTTAGTTTAAATTTTAATTTGGTACCCGTTGTTAAAAATCGTTGATGTGACATTTTTTTTCAACGATGACACGTCAACATCACTGTTAAATTTGTAACGACATGTACCAAAATGAAACCTAAACTAAAATTTAGGTATTAAAACATCACTGTTAAGTTTAAGTATGATTCTGAAAAAAGATAAAGTTTGAGTATTAAAACAGAATAAAAGTAATAGTTTAGATAGTTTATTTACTAAATGTGTAGTATACCCTAGATTCAAATATATGTTTTAAAGCAGCTTATCATAATCCTACATGTATTAGAACCCTAACAGGCATGTGACAAGGGCTTTTCTTAATCGAACTTGGAATAACAAAAAGAAATATAATCATGCATAACCTCAAACAAATATAATGCTTCCTTAGCAAGTAATTACAATTACCGCTACATTAGTGTATATATACATACATACACTTTTCAATAGACAGCAACGTTTTTGTTCTAAAGAAACCATGGCTGCTGATAGTGATAGGCATGGAGTTAGAACCTTTAACCTCTCTCACTTCTTCAATGTTTCTCTAATATTTTAAGCAGTGTTCCTGATCATGGTTTTTGTTTCGTGGTTTCAGAGTGGGTATTCAAGAGGGAAGCTTGATGATGATGAGTGGATCGTTTTATATAGCCAAATATAGAGATCCGGGGTCACAGGGTGAGGACAGCCACTTTATCTGTGAAGAGATGCATACGATCGGAGTGGCGGATGGTGTTGGCGGTTGGCAAATGCGAGGCGTTGACGCCAGAATATACGCGAGGCAACTCATGAACAATTCTCTTCTTGCTACCCTCACTCAGACTCATCCACACAATCGGATCGATCCCATGAAGGTCTTGGATGAGGCCTTTGCGAAGACGAAAGCCGCAGGGTCTTTAACGGCTTGCGTCATAACTCTCCACGAGGACGTGTGCTATTTTCGATCCAATCTCATTGCAGGTATCATGTTTATACAAACTAAAGTCATGAATCTTTGAATTTTGTTTTCCTATATATGTAGATGTTGCATGCTGTGAACATGGGAGATAGCGCGTTCATGGTGATCAGACAAGGTGCAGCCGTATACAGATCCCCAATTCAGCAACGATCTTTCAATTTTCCATATCAGTTGGGAAGTTGTGACAAACCCCCACAGGCACAGGTGATGAAGGTTGCAGTAGAAGCAGGAGATGTTATCGTAGCTGGAACTGATGGACTGTTTGATAACTTGTCTGAAACTCAAATATTGGAGAGTGTGGTTTACAATGAATTGGAAACCTAAAAAGGAAAAAGGTTCCACCGAGATTTGAACTCGGGTTACTGGATTCAAAGTCCAATGTCCTTACCACTAGACCATGGAACCGATTTACTCTCTCGTTTGATAAAAATTTTAATATTTCTTTTATCACTACCAAACTTATTTGTCCTTCTTTCTTTTGAGTGTTCCATTTTCATTCCTCTTCAGCTCTTCTGCGTGACAAATAATATAATAATATTTTTATAAATATTATTAAGATTATATTCTCCATCAAAATAAAATATTTTTAAACCATAAATAAAATCAAAGTTTTCAAATTCAAAAATATTTTATCATCTCATAAATAAGACATAATATAATAAATTTATCATTCATTCTTTCTGAAATAAATAAAATTAATCAATCATTGATTTAAACCCATTCAACTGGTTTACCGATTTAAAAAGTTATTAATCTTTCTTAATACTTTGAGTTCCAACAATTGTGTTTATAAAAGTATATATTGTTAGTAATTAAAAAAATTAATAAATATTATCTCATTATTTAGATAAACTATATGTTTAGTACATACATTATCAGTTTTAGTATCTATTTTTTTTTCAAAATCATACCTAACATTTAGTTTTTGTTTCATTATAGTACCCGCTGTTAAAAACTTAGCGGACAAGCTGTCGTGTTATAGCTCCGATAGACAGACGACCAATCCGAATGGTGGACCGCTAGGGTTGTTCATTCTGTTAATTCGGTGGCCGATCGAACCGAATTACCATTAACCAAACTTTTTTTTTCTTTAACCGTTAACCGAACCAAACTTTTTTTCGAAAATATTAACCGAACCGAATAAATTTCGATTAATTTTCAAATTAACCGAATGTTTTTAAAATTTTATAATTTATATAAAAATTAAATATTTTTTAATTCAAAAAAACAGTTTACAATTAATTTAAATAATATATAATTATAAAATATAAATTTTATATAAATTTTTTAATTAATTAATATTGATTTAGGTTTAAAAGTTATTGGATCTTAAATTATTAATTGGGTTTTAAATGGTTTGGGTTGAGCCCATATGTTATATATAATATATTTAAAATTTAAAATTTAATTTCAATTAATTTATATAAAATTAAATATTTTTTAATTAAAAAAACAGATTACAATTAATTTAAATAATATATAATTATAAAATAAAAATTTTATATAAATTTTTAATTAATTAATATTGATTTAGGTTTAAAAGTTATTGGATCTTAAATTATTAATGGAGTTTTAAATTGTTTGGGCTGAGCCCATATGTTATATATAATATATTTAAAATTTAAAATTTAATTTCGGTTAATTAATCGATTTCGAACCGAATTAACCGTTAACTGAATTCTAAAAATTTTCTAAACTGTTAACCGACCGAACTAATTTGGTTTGGTTGGTTAATTTGGTTAATTCGAAAAAATGAACACCCCTATGGACCGCGAGAGAATGATGAGTCAACCAGCATAGTCTAGTTTTAGATTCATAGTATGGTAGACCATAGAGATAGGAGGATGAAGAAATCAAAGAGTTTATCGTTAATTTGAAGAGATTAAGGTGTTTCCTGATGAAATAGAGATCAAAATCGTATTTAAGGAATCGAAAAGGTGCATGCTGAAAAATTTGGGCTTCATCAATCGACGGATCCAACGGTTATAAACGTGGCAGTCAACGAGTCATTTCGTTAAATTTTTAATGACAATGTACTAAAACAAAAAAAATAAACGTTAACTATTTTAAAAAAATAAAAATTTAAATATTAAAACAAACTAAAATTAATGTTTAGACAAAAAATTTATCCCGATTATTTAAATGAAAAATTATTCAATCATTTCTAAAGAATAAATAATAAATATGCTATCGATGCTCATTGATTCTTTGATATTTCGTACTAAATACAACCTAACAACGTCGTTTCCCGTCTTCAAATTACCCTTTTTACCCCCAATCTAGAAAGATATCCCCAAGCTCATCCGTCCTCTAGTAATTTAACTGGATTTGTATGCTTTTGTTTTCCCTTTCAATTCTTCATAGCGTCTTCCTGGTTTATCAACCACTACTTGGAATAAGAAAGACCCTCAAACAAACATACGTGATAATCTCAGAAATCCCAATCCAATCCCAAAAATTCTGAGATTCTTTCATCATCATTTGAACCCTTAAAATCGGCCATCTTTTCGCACCCCAAATCCCCTTTAAATTCTTAATCTTTCTCAGTCCCATGGCTGCTGCTGCTACTCTTAGATCGAAACCTTCCCTCGAAACAGCCTCTTTAACGGTCTCTCAGTTCAGGCACTTCTTATCTAATTATGCACTATGGTCGCATGGTTAGCTCCTCTTACTGTAGCCCAACCGTGCCAAATGGGACCACTACTTTGTCAACACTCCTTATCACTTCACTTCTTTCAAGCCCGTCTCGCTTCCCGCCCAACTCCTCGACAAGGGTTCCAATTCAATGGGGATTACTGGGATTTCCCACGTTTTAAATAAGGGTTTCGATAGACAAGTGAGAGAGAAATTGGGTTATGATAATTCTACGGTTTTGAGCTCTAATGGAGACCCACCAGAGTTTGGCAGCCACCTGGAGATGGGGGTTGCTATTCGGGTTAGTGGCGTGAATTTGGGCCGTGGTGGAGGGTTCCGGGTTCAGGAGGTGGGTTTGGACCGGGTCGAAGGATGGTTGTTTGGGGGGAGCGAATTTGGGAAATGATTTTCCGACTCCCAAGGAGATTTGTAAAGGCTTGGCTAAGTTTGTGATTGGTCAGGAGAGGGCAAAGAAGGTGATTATTATTATTGGTGATTATTGTTGTTTTATTCCTTTTTTTTAACATGAATTGTGTACTGGTTTGCTGTATGGAAAGTAATTGAAGCACTTAGAAGCTAGAAACTGCGTTGTTAGTTTTATAATGGTTTTTGATTGGTTTGAATTCTGCTCATATCATCATCGTTTATTCTCTTGGTATTAAGCTGTTGAATTATGGTGTTGCGATTCTCCACTGGCAGAAATGCACCTTTTGCCTCTGGGATATGACTTTTATCACTGATAACTGTTCTTAGCTGCATAGGATGCAAACATCCTTCTACATTAGTTTTCTGGTGGCATTGTTCTTGAAGCTGCATAGGATGCAAGCATCCTTCTACATTTTTCTGTTCTAATGTCTGAATGCAGGTTCTATCAGTGGCAGTTTACAACCACTATATGAGAATCTACCACGAGTCATTACAAAAAAGGTTAGTTTAATGCCTTCGAGATATGCAGCTGTGTTCTAATTTGTTTCCTTTTTTTATTGCTACAATTGTAAATTCATAGTGATAGATGGTTGAAGTAGTGAATAGTTAGACATGTGGCTTTTCCCATGCCTGATAAAAGAGAAAAGGAAAGGACATATTTGAAGCAATACACATGTAGTGTATTGAAGATATCTGGATATGGTCTATGGCTCTACGCTTATTAGATGTTACAGTCTGTAGTTAAACCTGTATTGTCTAGTGATTAAGGATGGTTTTTTTTTTTTTTGATAGAAGATTAGGCCTCATTAAAAAACCCCTTTTTCATCCTCCATGTTATGTAAGTAACATGAAGGACAAAGAAAGGAGGAAAAGAGTGCCTAAAAGTTTATTTAGATGAAACAATAGTACAACATAGGCAGACCCTAACAATCTGCTAACACCACCATGAATTACATAAAACTTAAACACAACAGCTAAACATAGGAAATAACATTTCCTACAGCTCAACACGAGTAGACAGAAACCAAAACATCACCCTATCCCATCTTTAGTTAATTTGTCAGCTTCCCAATTTGCAGCCCTCAAGATATGCCTAATAATGATATCCTTCCCTGCCATAAGATAGACTATATCCTTCACCAAGGATGGTTTGAATTGCAATGTTAGCTTTCTAAAGTTGGTAGCTGTATTTCTTCTATCGTGCACTGTTTGTGTGTCTCCATCTCTGTCTTTGCATGTGCTGTGTGTTTATGTTTATCTTAAGGAGAATATCAGTTATTAATATGTCTCCTTGGTAAGCTAGGCCCGCGGGAGATTCGGGTAGCAACATAGCAGATGTACTAGACGATGATACAGTGGAACTGGAGAAAAGTAACATCCTTTTGATGGGGCCAACAGGGTCAGGTAAAAATGAGTATTTACTTCTATGCTTCCACGCTATGAGATTTTCTTTGACTGAGGTGTAGGTTTCTTAATTTTTTTGTGTTTTTCTCTCTTTTTTTATTTATCCTTTTAAATGAGGTGTGAATATTAGTTGACCTCCAGTTTTGCTCATTATCTTTTAATACAATTGTAATTTTTTTAATTTTCTTTCCTCCTGCCAATTCTTGATTATCTTAGGTTATTCATATTTATTCGAACGTAATCATTTCTTTTTTTTTCAATACTAGTCTCGCGTTACCTTCTGATTTATTCAAGGACAGGGAAAACGTTACTTGCTAAAACCTTGGCTCGTTTCGTGAATGTTCCTTTTGTTATTGCGGATGCAACTACCTTGACTCAGGCAAGCTGCCGACTCTTATTGTGTTAAATGTCTTTGATAATTCATGCTTAAATGGATATTCCTCTTCTGATTATTTTTACTTTCATTTAATTATTGGTTCATTAAGCATGTTATCACTGTTAATAAAAGTTTAAACCATTGTAGGTCATGGTTTTTTGTGTTCCTATTCTTTTGCCGTCCTTTCAGGATTTTGTGGTTTAAAAGTGCATCATTTACTATACTCAGATGCATATTAACATTGAAAATAAACTGGGTTTCCACTTAATTTACTGTCTTCACTGCCACCAAGTCTATGATCTCTGAGCACACTACTATTTAATACCAATTCTTGATACTCTTGTTGAGTGTCCCCCTTCCATGGGATATCTCTTTGCCATGTATTAGCTATATAGACATCATAATAAACTTAAATTCTTTTGGGATATTTTATTGATAAAACTAAGAGTGAATTAATGTTTCTATATTCTTTTCTTTTTGGATA